TCAGTCACTCAGTTGTGTCTGACTCTTTGCGACCCCATGAACTGCGGCACGCCAGGCCTCCCTGTCCATCACCAACTCCCGGAGTCTACCCAAACCCATGCCCATCGAGTCAGTGATGCCATCCAGCCATCTCATCCTCTGTCGTCCCCTTCTCTTCCTGCCCCCAATCCCTCCCAGCATCAGGGTCTTTTCCAATGAGTTAGTTCTTCGCATGAGGTGGCCAAAGTATTGGAGTTTCAGCTGCAGCATCAGTCCTTCCAATGAACACTCAGGACTGATCTCTTTTAGGATGGATAGGTTGGATCTCCTTGCAGTCCAAGGGACTCTCAAGAGTCTTCTCCAACACCATAGTTCAAAAGCATCAATTTTTTGGCGCTCAGCTTTCCTCACAGTCCAACTCTCACATCCATGCATGACCACTGGAAAAACCATAGCCTTGACCAGATGGACCTTTGTTGGCAAAGCAATGTCTCTGCTTTTTAATATGCTATCTAGGTTGGTCATAACTTTCCTTCCAAGGAGTAAGTGTCTTTTAATTTCATGGCTGCAGTCACCATCTGCAGTGATTTCGGAGCCCCCAAAAATAAAGTCTGACACTAGGTAGTCTAGTTCTTAATGATAGGGTGAGGCTGCTGAGGAAGTGAACAAATGAAGAACTGAAGAAGCTTCAAACATGAGGCCTCAAAATTGCTTTGGAGTCATCGAGTCCAACCATTGGATATGCCCTGTGGTTCCAGGAAGCCTGACACCTCTCATGCCAGTGGGACACCAGGCCCAGTTGATCAGGTCATCACATGCCCCTGGCCATGGTGATTGGTTAGGAGTGGTCACATGACCCAAGTTTGGTTGATCAGGCTTGATAAAACCAAATTTCAGAACTTTTGCTGGAGCTACTGCACAAGAGGCACTTGCTTTCTTTTGGGGTCTCTGAGCGGGTAAGACATAAGCTTAGAGCTACTGGGATCCATCTTTAAATATTAATATCATGAGGAGATGCAGAAGAAATCAGAGCTGAGAGGTGGATGCAGCCAAATTAGTGGCAAAAGAGTTGGTGCCTCTGGATCCAGCCTTGCCTAAAACTATACAGTTTTAGTATTCAGAACCTATATAATCTTTTTTTTAATTTACAACAGTTGGAACAGAATTTATACAATTTTCAACCAAAATGATCATATAAGGATACAAGGCAATAGGCCGTTGTAATAGGAGACACAAGAATTTCAGACTGTCAGAGCTAGAAGGGATCTTAGCATTCTAAGTGTGTAATATGCTACTCATCACAAGTGCCAGCCACACTGGCCATTCAACTCAAGATGGGTGTTTTCTAAGCCAGCATTAGTAGTCATGTATGGATGTGAGAGTTGGACCATAAAGAAAGCTGAGCACCAAAGAACTGATGCCTTTGAATTGTGGCGCTGGAGAAGATGCTTGGGGGTCCCTTGGACAGCAAGGAGATCAAACCAGTCAATCCTGAAGGAAATCAACCCTGAATATTCATTGGTGAATGATGATGATGATGATGGTGAAGCTGAAGCTCCAATACTTTGGCCACCCGATGCGAAGAACTGAACCATTGGAAAAGACCCTGATGCCAGGAAAGACTGAGGGCAGGAGGAGAAGTGGGGGACAGAGGATGAGATGGTTGGATGGCATCACTGACTCGACGGACATGAGTTTGAGCAAACTCCGGGAGATGGTGAAAGACAGGGAAGCCTGGCATTCATAGGGTCTCAAAGAGTCGGACATGACTTAGTGACCGAGAAACAACCACAATTAAGTCCTGCACCCTTGTTCTGGCCAAACTTCCTAGTTGACACAGCGGCAGTGCTCAGGGATGGCGTCTCAAATTCAGCTTTGACTAACAAAAAGGGAGTGCCTAGGCAGTGCTACCATGCTTCCTAGGTGGCTCAGTGGTAAAAAGAATCCACCTTCATTGCAGGAGTCGCAGGAGATGCGGGTTTGATCCCTGGGTCGGGAAGATTCTCTGCAGAAGGAAATGGCAACCCACTCCAGTATTCTTGCCTGGAGAATCTCACAGAGGAGTCTGGGGGGCTACAGTCCATGGGTCACAAAGAGTCAGACACAACTGAGTGACTGAGTGCTATCACATCCCTGTTTCACAGACAAGAAGCTGTGCTGACTGAGGGGCTGGAAGAAACCTATTCTTTGCATCCTTCTAGCAACCTGCAGATGGAAAGGATGAGTGGAGGGGCTGCTATGGGGCCAGAGGCCAGGCCAGAAGCTTCCAGACTGCAGTATTTGTCACTGATGTTCACTTGGGGACAAACAAGGACAAAGGAGCAGCATTTCCTTGTCTAGATGTACATGTTTGGGGTGAAAAGGGGTCCTCATGTTGCTCACAGGGCAGCGAAGGCCATGAAGAAGGTGTTGAACCACCAATCAATCACCTCTTTGGAAAAAACACCCACTGGCCAGCAGTCACTGCAGGGGTTACTGTTATTAACTCCATTTCACGGGTGAGGAAACTGAAGCTCAGAGAGATGAGAGTGTTTGCCCAAAGCCATACAGTCAGTAATTAAGACTTGGGACCCACACTGCGACTTTCCTGCCTGTAAGTCCAGTAGACCTTCTAACACAGATAAATAAGGTGACAGCCAGAAATCAGCATGATGATAACAGCAACAATAGTCAGCAGATTACTGAGCACTCACTGCAGGTGGGCCCCTGAGCTGGTCCCCTATTCCCACCTAGCAAACTCCTGTCTTCTCTCCCAGGGCTCTCTGGGCAAACAAACAGAAGCAATGCATAGGTCTGGTGTCTCCTAATGCTTCTGAGAAAATGTTGGAGATAGGAGACCAGGTTATAGAACAACAGAGGGCCTCATAGTTTCCAGATGGCCAAATGAACTTGGAAGTATTAACCAGACAGGTGTCTCTGACAGCACACGAGCTGGCCCTGGGCCTGCAACACACTGACCATTGATCTGGAGGAGAATCACCAACAGTGGAGAGGGGAGGGGTGTGACCCAAGGCAGAGAGGACTAGGGAACTCCTAGAGTGAGTAGCAACCTCAGACTCTCAACTGAACTCAAGACAACTAACAACCTTGGGACCTCAACTGAACGGAAATAACACACAGAAAAGGAGCAGGGCCCACTGTGGGAGGGGTGCAGGTGGACGATGGGGCAGCATCACGCTGGCAGACAACAATTCACTCCACAGAGTCATAGGGGAATGCTGCAGCCAAGAATGAGAATCTCACCTTGGACGAGCTGGTAAGGGGCAGTGTCTGACCAGGGATTGTAAACTCAGGTCCTCCAGGGGCCAAGCAGACCACAAGCGAGGAGCGATGAGTGAAGATAGTAGCGAATGGAGAGCCTCGAGTCTCTTGTCACAGATAGCCGATTCTCAGTCCATCTCAAGGTGACCCAGCAGATATGAATGCCCGCATTCTCCAATCTGCCCATTTTCCTAACGAGAAGGTGGAAATCAAGCTTTGTCATAACTCCCCCATTTAAAAATACTAAGCTTTGCTTTGTTTTAATGCTCTGTGGGTCAAACAGAACACATCCAGGGGCCAGATCTGGCCCTTAAGTTGACATTTAGTGACCTTTGGTCTACACCAAGGATGCTAGCTGTCTGTCCTCTCTCTCTCTCTCTCTCTCTCTCTCATTGCTCAGCTATAACTGTGAGTGCATCTGGGACTGCAGTTCCAGGAAAGACAGTATGAAAAGGAGTGAGTTTCAAGGGAGCAGGAAGAGAGGGCATGGATACACTCCTAGTGAGAAGCTAAGTCAAAGAGAGAAGGGGAGAAATGGATGAGCCACCATGTATGACTGATTCATCTACCCATCCATCCATCCATCTGTTACCATCCATCCATGTACCCATCGACCCATACATCCATTCATCTACTCATCCATCCATCCATCCACCCACACATCCATCTTCATCCATCCATCCATCTACCTATCCATCCACCCACTCACACATTCATCTACTTATCTATCCATCCATCCACATGTCCATCCATCCATCCATGTACCCATTCACTCACATATACATTCATCTACTCATCCATCCATCCATCCACCCACACATTGATCTTCATCCATCCATCCATCTACCTATCCATCTACCCACTCATACATTCATCTACTCCTCTATCCATCCATCCACAGGTCCATCCATCTGCTACCATCCATCCATCCATGTACCCACCCCCCATATATTCCTCTAGTCATGCATCCATCCATCCACCCATCCATCCATCCACCCACCCACCCACACATTCATCTTCATCCATCCATCCATCTATCCACTCACTCACACATTCATCTACTCCTCCATTCATCCATCTACCCACACACCCATCCATCCACCTACCCAACCGCCTATCACAATTCATCTACTAATCCACCCACCCATCATCCATCCATTCCACAGTATGCCGTTATAGTTAAGAGCACGGATTCTGGAATCATATCTAACTTTGCCATTTCCTGGACGTGTGAACTTGGGCAGGATACTCAACCTCCCTGAGCTTCAGCTTCCTCATCTGTCAAACGGGGGAGCGACAGTAGGGTCACTGTGAGGACTGAAAGAGTTAATTCATGTAAAGCACTCTGAATAGCACCTGGTATGTTGTATGTGCTCTGTACATGGGAGCTACGCTTGGCTATCAGCACTCATTCAGTGGCCATCTATAGAAGTTCAGGCGTGTGCCCGACACTGTACCGGGTGCTGGGAGGTGCGTAAAAGAAGCACAGCCATCAGCATCAAGGAGCCTACACCCCTGGAGGAGACATATTAGAAAACATCACACACACGCTGTCCAGCCTGTAAAACATAACAGAGCCCTGTGCTCACATATCATCAAAATAACGTTTCAATATTTAAGGAATAAGTGATTTCCCATGACCCAGTAGGTCTCCTCCTATGGAAATAGTCACAGACCCTATTGGGTCTAAATAAGCACAGAGATTTAGCTAAAAAGAGATGCAGCATGAAGTGGTGCCTGAGGCCAGCTGACTTGAGTACTTGCCACGGTAGGCTGCGTGTTCCACACTTGTGACCTCGGAGTGGGCTGCCGGTAGGGTGAGGGAGGGAAGCAGCTCTGGGTCCCACACCCTCCGCACTGCACGGAGGAGGCCTGGTGAAGGCATGTGCTCGCCTGTGCCCAGACCTTACTCTCACTTGCCATTGTTCTCTAAGAGGAACCACAGATCCCAGGAGAGATGGCTGACGAGGGTGGGACCGTTTCAAGATGAGCCCAGGAGGAACATCTTGTCAAGCCAGGAAGTTGAGGACTCACACACACACACACATAAAACCTCAAATCAAGAACAAAACAGAGATGGAGGCATGTAATAAGGACACAATCACCAGCTCATAGGGGGCTCCCAATGGCCAATTCTGGGATGAGTTGAGCACCAACATAATTAAATACAGTAGAAGCAGTCTCCAAGCTCTTTGGCACCAGGGGCCAATTTTGGGGAAGACAATCTTTCCACAGACTGGAGGGCAGTGGTGGGGATGGTTTTGATATGATCCAAACACATTACATTTATTGTGTACTGTATCTCTATTATTATTACATTAGCTCCACCTCAGATCATCAGGCATTAAATCCTGGAGGTTGGGGACCCCTGTGGGAATGAATTATAAGACATTGGGATGAAAAACAGGGATTCATGAATTCACACAGAAAAACTGATAAATCAATGAATCAGTGGGAAGAAGGGAGGTTAGAGTGGGATGCCTGGTCTACCTAGGAAATGCAGAGAGGGTACTAGGGTTGGACACTCAGAATTTTGCAGTCATAGTAGTAAAGAATGGATCATGTAAGAATTATCAATGGATGCTAAGTCCAGGGGAAACTGGAGAAGCAGGACGTGCACAAGTCCTTCAGATGAGGAGCCAGAGGCTGGGCATAAAATAGTAAGGATACACTGGACAAATTAAATAATACCTTTCCCAGGTAATCAAAATGAATAGTTCCAATGCTAGGTATACGCCCCAAAGAAATGAATACATGTAGTCAAACAAATATATGTATAGCTATGCTCAGAGAAGCTCTATTCACAATAGTCAAAAGGTAGAAACAACCCAAATGTCTGTCAACAGAGGGATAGATTAAAAAGGCAGTTGATCCATACAATGGAATATTATACAACCATTAAAAGGAATGAAGTTCTGATACATGCTACAAAATGAACAATTATGCTCAGTGAAAGATGCCAGACACAAAAGGTCACATATTGCATGATTACACTGATATGTAAAGAATAGATAAATCTATAGAGAGTGGTTACCAGGGGCTAGAGGTGAGGAAAGAGGAAAAAACTGCTTAATGGGCACAGGGTTTACTTTTGTGGGTAATAAAAATGTTTTGGAACTAGATAGAGACAGTGGTTGGACAATCTTATAATATCCTAGAGGACACTGAATTGTTTACTTTAATGTTATGTGAATTTCATCTCAAGAAAAATTTTCTATCAGGGTGAATCTTATGGAGCATGTAACTGTAATGTGGTATTATGTAAGAGAAAGTCCCTCTTCTTAGGAAACATACACTGAAGTATTTAGGGGTAAAGGTACATGGTATGAGCAAGTTACTCTCAAGTAGTTTTAGAAACCATGTTCTGTGTGTAGATGGAAAGGTAGAGATATTTTGTGTAAATGATAAACCCAGTGGAGTAAAACATCAACAACAGGTGAATCTAGGCACAGTCTACAGGTGCTCTCTGTAGCATTCTTCAGACTATTCCATGATCTTGAAATTATTTCCAAACAAAGAGTTAAAAATGAGGAAAAGAAGGGTGTGTGCTCAAAACAAGTCAGGGAGAAAAGCTTTGAGGAGCATCAGTGGGTCATTTGATATATGAATACGGACAGTGGATTAAGCGTTGGCACTGGATTAACGTTAAATTTCCAGATGTTGACAACTGTCCTGGCTCTTGGTTCTTAGGAAATCCCCTGAAGTGATCAGAGGTGACATGCAGGGAGGGGCACCTTGCTCAGATGTGCCTGTGTAAGCGTGTGCACACACACACACACGGAACAAAGGAGGGAGGAGATAAACAATAGGGACTTGTGAGCAAAAGTCGTGATGCTACTTGAGATTATTCTTGCAATTTGAAATGATACCCCAAAAAACTTAGAAAAAAAAGAGGTCATCACGGACACAGGCGTGAGAATCAAGGTCTGCAAACTGGGTTTGGACATATCTCCTCTGACACTGCCCTGGACGATGCCTAGAAGCACAGTCAACACCTCCTCCCTCCACAGTCCCCATCTCTCCTTCATCCGTGGCTGCTTCCTGCTGGGGCAACAGTCAGGGTTGCTTTTAATCCCAGGACATTTCAGAGTCTCCTTCTGTGACTAGAATAGAGTCAAAGTGGGGACTGGGAGGCTCACCCTCTTGTGTTTGCGGGATAATGGTGAACACAGGCTCTTTGACATGGCTCTGCTGAGTGTGGGATGACCTGCCTGACCCCTGGCATGGTCCCCACTGCAGAGATGTTGAGGCACAGAGCCTTGCTCAGGATCCTTTGGCAGATGCTGTCAATCACAGGCGACCGGGAGACCCTAGCACCACCTTCCCCCAGAGACAAGCACCCAAATCCCACCCTCTGCTTCTCTGGATTCAGATGCCATAGCATATCAGGGGCTGAGGGCTGCTGCAGTGACAGATGTGGGCGTGGACTGGCAGGAGATGGGACTGTACATGGACACCAAGAGGGCTCTGGCTGGTGTCCTTGGGCAAGTTAGCGTTTATCAGCTGGGCAAGGTGCCTATTCGGGAGACGTTGATGGCCCTTCTGAAGTCTACAGACTCCTAAGCTTCTGCAAATCTCACCAGTAACTGACCTTCCCACATTGTCCTGAGGCTGCCCGAGCAGGCACAGAGGCTGCAGTGATGGCCCCAGCAGCTGCGTCACTTTGCCCCGCAGCGTCCTTGCCAGGAATCTCTTCACCTCCTCCTGTCCCAAACCTCCCCATCCAACAGATCAGCCTAAGCCTCTCAAAGTCAGCCTGGATGATCAGAGCCTCGGGAAGACGCTTCCATTTCTCTGCCTTCCCGCGGCTCTCACGGGTCCTCCATTCATCCCTCAGCTCCATCTATGCCTCTGTGTCTAGTCATTCCTGAGCATGTCAGTCTCATTGCGGGGGGGGGGGTGCCCTAACAGCTGTTTCTTCACTCACTGCTTCTTCACCCCTCAAGTCCCTACCCAGTACCACCCACCCAGCAAATACTCAACAATGCTGGCAGACGGCATGGAGGGAGACAGATGAGTTACGTAACGAGAACAATCCTTGAGAAAGATTTTTCTGACAGCAGCATAAAGGATGGGCTGGAGGAAAATCAACAGCCAGCCCATCCATCATCACGCACTTATTGAGTCTCTCCTGCGTGAGCCACTTCTGCTAAGAGCTCAGAGACAGATAAGGCACCCCTGCCTACTCCCTGCCACCTCCCCACCTCCCCGCCGGAACTTAATTCAGGTTGAAGAGACAGGCAAGTGGGGAGTTACATAATAATACAAGGCATGAAGCGCCCTGCAAATCAGCAGCATCAGAGCTGGGACCCAGCAGGATGTGATTAATTGCCAGGTGAGTGATGGACTACAAAGGGACATTATATGATGCTGTGATTCAGCAAGGCAGTGGGGCTCTGGTGCACGGTGCGTTGTGTGGATGGTGGGGCTGAGAGTGAGTGTGGGCAGCTCCTTCCATGGTGCATGGATTTGGGAAGGGGAAGGACTGTGGGGAAGGAGGGATTCAAGTTGTGTCCAGCTCATGGGGAGGGTTTCCACAGGAGAAGTGATACTGCCTGAGAACTGGGCCCATAAAGTGAACATGGGGGTGGGGAGGAGGTCTGCTCAGGGTTGATGGGTAGATCAGTCTAGGAAAGGGCAAGATAAGTGGTGGGAGTCAGGCTGGGCCAGCAGGCTGGGGGCTGGAGGATGGGAAACTGCCCTCATATTCGACTGGAAAATTTTCTTCTCTCTCTCTGCCCCAATCATCTAAGGTCAAAATGTGCCATCACAGAAACCGAGGAAAAGAGGTCCATGGAGAAGAAGATGGACGAGGCTCCCTCCCAACACGTGACCGCCGCTGCTGTGGGAAAGTGGGGATGATGGACAGGAAAAGGGTCCCCTGGGTTTGTCCACAGTGGGGTGGGGGCCCTACTGGGGGTGTTGGGCACAGAGAGAGAGCTCTCTTTGAGAAACGCAGGCTGGAGAGGGAAGGAAGCTAGAAGACCATCCTTGGACAATGAAAGTCTCAAGGGAAGGAGGATTTCTCCCTCAGTAGAGGAAGCCTGCACATATCTCAGGAGGAAACAAAGGTAGTTGATGGAGACCAATAAAACAGTGGGCAGATGAGCAAAAAAAAAACACCTCGGGATGAAGTCCAGAGAAGTGCAGAAAAGGAGATGCCCGCCTCCACAGAGGCAAGGGAAGATGAACGTCTGGAAAAGGCGTAAGGATGGTAAAGTTCATGCGCAGTGGTATGCATCATTGATTCTAGGCTGCTCTCTCCTCACCACCATGTAACCCTGAAAGGAGGGCAAAATGCGGGAAAGTGAAGGCCTTGCAGCAGAGCAAGGGGTGCCTTTGCTGCAGGGATGTGTGCTCTTGGGAGCCTAAGTCGGGGAAGGCTGAAAACAGCCTTGTCAGCAAATCAGCAAGGACGTCAACAGGAAGGCTGCTGGGCCAACTGAGGGGCTGAGAGGATGGCAGGCAGTAGCAGTGGTAGAAGCCGTAGGGGCAGTAGTTGATCAAGAATCGGCTCCATCAGATGACTTTCTCCAGCAAACCTGGACCAACTGAGGACCCGAGAGAAGGCATGGTGATGGTCTATAGACAGGAAGGCATTCCATGGGCCATGTCTTGCTGGCCAGTCTTCCCACAGGAAAACGTCAGCTGTGTGCCTTTAAATCCATGTTTGAAAATCCTACTGGGCTTATGCCTGCCCAGTATGCCCAGCCATTTCCGGGAACTGTATCTCACTTCACTGCACTCACACGGTTAATGAAGGTGCTGCCATATGTACATATCATGACTCCACATCCTGGCAAAGCTGACTGGTTGAGGGGTGGGCACCTGACCCAACTAGACCAATCAGATTCCTTCCCTAAGATTTCAGAACTTGAACTGAGA